TGTCTGTCTGTCTGTCCGTCCGTCCGTACGTCCAGCAGTTTTCTCCAAAACCACTACAGATATCACCTTCAAATTTTCAGGGATAACTTATAAGTGCTTACAGATGTGGATGAAAAAAATTTAACTCATACGTACTTCCTGTCGGTCATTTTGAAGTCAAATGCTAAAATCCTTGTCTGCAAACTTTAAGAAAAACGGCTTCACAGTTGCTTTTAAAACTTTAATATCTTGTTCAGCTTACTTCATTCTACATCTGATTAGGTTTGTACTTTGTATCATATTGAATGGTGTTTTTGAGTTTTCATACTTTAACTATTTAGTAGCTTTATAAATAGTTTCAGGTGTACTTTGTTGTAAAAGCCTATGTTATTGTTAACAGTGGTTATATGTGACAATTTTGTAAAAGGAAATCAGCAAAAACTCATAATCACTTTTTTATTGTCGGCCATTTTGGATTTTTCTGTCCTTAAATCGTGTCTGTAAAGTCTTGTCCAGGTAAACCGTTTGGTAGATCAATTTCAAATTTTCAGGGATGATTCTTAGTATGATTCTAGATCTGATTAGTTTTTGGGCATTCTGGGTAAATGTCAAGGCAGCCATTTTGGATTTTCCGTCTTAAAAATCGTGTCTGTAAAGTCTTGTCTACACATTTCCAGGTGAACAGTTTGGTAGATCAATTTCAAATTTTCAGGGATGATTCTTAGTATGGAAATCTAGATCTGATTACTTTTTTTGGCGTTCTGGGTAAATGTCAAGGCAGCCAATTTGGATTTTCCGTCTTTGAAATCTTGTCTGTAAAGTCTTGTCTACGCATTTCCAAGTGAAGCGTTTGGTAGATCAATTTCAAATTTTCAGGGATGATTCTTAGTATGAAAATCTAGATATGATTAGTTTTTTGGCGTTCAGGGTAAATGTCAAGGCAGCCATTTTGGATTTTCCGTCTTAAAATCTTGTCTGTAAAGTCTTGTCTACGCATTTCCAAGTGAACCGTTTGGTAGATCAATTTCAAATTTTCAAGGATGATTCTTAGTATTAAAATCTTAAACTGATTAGTTTTTTGACATTCTGGGTAAATGTCAAGGCAGTCATTTTGGATTTTCCATTCTAAAATCTTCTGTTTCTGTTCTGTAAAGTTCTGTTTACATGTTTTCTGGTTAACTGTTTGATGGATGAATTTCAAATTTTCAGGAGTGGTTCATAGTATGAAAATCTCGAACTAACTAATTTTTGGGCATTCTGGGTAAATTTTTATGGCTGCCATTTTGGATTTTTCGTCCTCAAATTGTGTTGGTAAAGTCTTGTCTACTTATTTTCAGGATAACCATTCGATGGGATCACCCATTGGTGGGGACATTTTGTACACATTTGTGTTCTTGTTTATACTTGTTTTATTTCTTAATTACACAGTTTATGACAATGTTAGTTACAAATATTGGTGACAAATCACTATAAGGTAGCATTATGAGATCATTCTATGTATAAAAAAGAAGATTGAGTTATTTTTATGCTTTTTATTTATGGGGCCATTCAGCCCTTGATATTGTGCTTATCTGCTTCAGTATAATGTTAACATGTACTTGCATTGCGCACGTTGTAATTATTATTTAATGCAAAATGCAATGTACTTAATAAGATATGATTTATTTGTAAAAAGCAATATATTTGTTTATAACTTAGAGCAATGTACAAGTACTGAACTAGTGCACTTGTTTTGTGCAATGTACTTGTCTAGTGTACTTGTATATGGTGCAATAATCATAAGCGATCTTTTTGCCAATCATATTTTATTAAAATATCTTGATAACAGCTGCTGTAAATGTTATTGTATATCCTCAACTTATTGTATAGCATAAGTTTATTGTATAGCCTCAAGTTATTGTGTAACCTCAGATTATTGTATAGCATCAGACTATGGTAATAAAAATTGTAATACACACCTAGACATATTTATTTGTTTCCAGTTCATTTCTTGGTAAATTGTAAATACTTTAGAAGAATGTAAAATGGCATATTTCTATGGTAAAAAATTAATCAGTATTACATCTCAATGAGTCATCGACATTCCAGTAAATATTTCACTAAAGCAAGAATTTCGGTAGAACACACCCACGAACGAACGGAAAGTCGGAGAAACACACAACGTTGACAGATGAATCAAAGTTGAAGAAATATTTGCAATATTGCCATAGAATGATGTGTTATGATTGGCACGTTCGTGTACGTTCATATTAAAAAGGTCAATATCATCATGGAATAACAATGAAGCTTTCCTCGCGATAGAAGCGTTGTAGTAATGAAATCTGCTCGTGTTTTCAGCGGGGCATCTTGTGTTTTCAGTGGGGCCTCCTCATGTTTTAGCGGGGCCACTGGAACACTATTAATGATGTATTTCGACCCACATGGCAGGAGTAATTGTACATTAACTTATCAATACAGACCATATTGATCCAATATTTATTACGGAGTATGTAAATCGTATTTATTGACCTTTATTTTAACGATAAAAGTAATGTATGAACAGTAAATTATGCAAACGTGGATGTTTACGCCCAATTCTTCCATGTCAGTGAAAAAGAATCTTTTTCCTGTCATTGTTTGTCAAATATATCTGTTTTCAAAGTATCGCCTGAGTATCAAAAAACGGTAATAAATATTTTCATCCTTTTGGTCCATTTTCCAAAGTGATGCAAATAAACAAGACTATGCTCGCGATTTCAGCGGGAACTTACTCGCGACCTTTAAATTATAGCGGGGCTTTGGATGATTATGCTTCTACAGTATGCTACTAATCAATGCTACTATTATGCTACAATGTAATGCTACACTATGCTACTATGTAATGCTACTATTATGAGCTTACCCCAACAGATTCAAAATGGCTGACTCTATCGAAATCACCCAAAATATTGAGAACGTATGATAAAAAATTTGTGAGGGCCACGAGTCGAAAAGTCGTTAAAAATGGTTGATATACGCACGATAACCTCCACATTCTGGAAAATCTGAATTTCACTTTATTTACATCTCCCAGACAGGGGGGCCCCTTGGACCTGTCCCTAGGCTCGATACGAAAACTCATCCAGGTACCTTTCCCACGTTTTCTTCTGAAGTTTTTTAACCAGACCCCTGATGTCTGTTTACCTTTATTAATCAAAACCCCTAACGATTTATTCATCCCACTTGGCACATTTGTTAAATTTATTCCTGCATATCATGCCTAAATTTTATGGAAATCAATGCATTTTCAAAAAGGTAATATCGAAATAAAAAATATATGGACGGTTTTTTGGTCCAACCTGTACCTGTAATGTGGTGTTTATATGATCGTGAAATAAATCTTGTTATTGATAGTTAAATATGCCACACATGAACCGTATACTGTTTGAAGAGTTTAAACAAAATTTTAAATCTGCCAATTTGTTTCCGATCAGTAAATGTCATTTGACTAATCAAGTACAAAAATATGGCGTGGCGTATGCCAGTCATATATCAATAAAGAAATAGCCTGGCAACGATATTGTATCCCTTTAAGATACGATAAATAGTACCGTGGGTACTGGGCTCACATGGTGTTACTAAAAAGTGAATAATGGCCGATTTTTTGTAACAAAATTATTTCATACAACTACTCTTTCCAGTGCCATGGCTTTTTACAATGCAGGACACCTGATATAATTTGTAAAGCTTGGAAAAGTGCCAAAAGAGAATTTCAAGAAACAAAAATGGCGACCATTTTGAAAATAAGGGAGCTTTTAAACCAGGAGTCATGGGGGAGTTTTCTGTATTATGTTGAAAAAACTTGGATTTCGCGAGACATATGGACAAATCAATGGCTCAAAATATAAAAAAAAAGGATTTAATTTTTGCCCATTTTTTGTAACAAAATTATTTGGCGGCCATTTTGAAAATAGGCGAGCTTTAAAACCAGGAGTCGCATGGGAGTTTTCTGTATATTGATGTTGCACCTAAAACAGGAATCCTATCGATAGAGGTTTTAAACCAAATGGTCCAAAAGTGGATTTCGCGAGACAGATGGACAAATCAATGTTAACTAAAATGGCTGGAAATAAAAAAAAACGGATATAATTTTTTGCAGATTTTTTGTAACAAAATTATTTTATACAACTACTCTTTACAGTGACATGGATTTTTACACTGCAGGACACCTGAAATTTTTTGTAAAGCTAGGAAATGGGTCAAAAGTGAATTTCGCGAGACAAAAATGGCGACCATTTTGAAAATAGGCAAGCATTTGAACCAGGAGTCATAGGGGAGTTTTCTGTATCGATGTTGAACAAAAATAACTTAAAATGGGAATCCTATCGACACAGGTTTTAAAGCAAATGGTCCAAAAGTGAATTTCGCGAGACAAAAATGGCGGCAATTTTGAAAATACTCTTTACATTGACATGGCTTTTTACAATGCAGGACACCTGTCGTAGGGGGTTAAACGGAAATCCTATTGACAGAGGTTTTAAAACGGGCCAATTGTTGACAGACGGACATATGGATGGACGGACGGACGGACGGACGGACAGACAGACAGACAAGTGAGTGATTGCAAAAGCTCACCATGTGAGCTAATAAAAACACTTTAAAGGATTTTCGAGGCCACATTTCAAAGAAAAAAATGAACTTAACACTTTCCTTAAGTCCAGTTCTTTTTGTAACATCGCGTTTAACAACATATAACTACAATGTATGGACTAGCACAACATATTCAAGTTTGAGTTTATTTCTTCTATGCCATTCGAAAAATGATCAATCCAAGATACAGTATTACATATTTGGGGAATATATCTACATAATCGAATACTGATGTTTTGAATTGTTGAGATTCTGATAAATAATTCACCAAAGCAAGTGGTTCTTTTCAATGTCTGTTGTTTTGATATTTCCCTTTCCTTATTTTGGGCAAAGATATCTCACTTCATAGTCCAGACATCTAGAGCCATAATTCTGATCACTGTTCTGACACACGAGTCCCCCTTGAACTGAGCAGTCAGCTGTTGACATAAACACCTGGTTAGTCCTCGAAGCAGGAATGTGGGTTCCTACGGTCCTGCATCCTATTGCCATTGGATTCTGACATGGCATGGACTGAAATGTAAAATAATAAATGCTGTTGCACTCGCTCGTTCTAGAATATAACAAATAAAAGTTTGTGCATTGCAAACATTATAATTTTTGCACTAGTATGGCCTAAAACGGCAAAAATATAAAACAAAAAATGGTGTATGACCTAGATTATACACTCCCCTCCATAAGTTTGGCAACCTTAGCTCCCCCATTGAACCACTTGTTAAAGCCTCTTTACCTTTGAATTTTTATTTACTTAACCTCCGATGAAAATACTTATACTATTATTTGAAACAGAATGTGACTTTATTTCCAATACCCCCAAATTTCAAAAGTCAAAAGACAGGAGGTGAAGATTTATTTTCAAAAATGACTTTGAAGCGCTGTTACTTTAGTATTCATCAAATAAACTAAACACTTGGTGTACAAAAAAAGTTACACAATTCAATTTTCTATATGAAAATATTTTTGCTGAATCTTTTACTGAAAAGATATCTTGATTTCTGATTTGCCCCGAACCCTCCATTTCCCATTAGATTATGGGACTGACGATTTTCAAAAATTCATCAAATTTATCATAGATTTTCATCCTATTGTAATTAAGGAAAAAATTGAGAAAATTTGGAGGTATTGGAAATAAAGTCAAGTTACGTTTCCATCAAAATTATAAGTTATTTCCTCGCAGGTTAAGTAAATAAAAATTCAAACGCAAAGAGGCTTTAAACCGTAGTTCAATGGAGGGGGGGCTAAGGTTGCCAAACCTATGTAGGGGAGTGTAACATTAAAAGCTTGGATTTACACAAAACTTTCTTAAATATAAAAACAAAAGTTGGTATAGTAGAATGACCTAGAATTATAACACATAAATCCTTGGTGCACTGACATGGCTTAGATTAACTTAGATTCTAAAAAGGTTGGTATATTTGCAAAAACCTGGAATATTACACATAAAAGATAAGTGCACTTGAATGAACAGAACAGCCTGATTGAAATTATAAAAATTATAAGAGTAATACGTTTATATGTTTCTAAAAATAGCCAGTCATTTGTTGCAAAAAGTATAGAATGCATTTGTTAATAAATACTTCATTGCTTTTTAAATGTAAATATTGGCAAATTAAGATTTTCAGCTTGTATACCACCATGGGTATATTGTTAGATATGTCATCATTTGTTTACCGCACCCAGTCCCTTTTCGAGGTTCTCTCTATCCTCCCAGTCACCAGTGCCACTTGGGTCGTCTCTGTCTATCCATGAAGACCAGGACGCTGCTGTAAACATCAGAAAAGAAAATGTCTGAATTCTTGCACAAGACAAAATCGTGTTTAATAATTTGCAATAAACTGCTTATTACCATCTTACTCGGTGCTTAGTTGTCGCTATCCTTGATTATTGATACACTTATTTGGAAGGTTACTTCTGCTTACCCCTAGGTATTGATACACGTATCCGTGGTTTTTAGGCCCGAATACCGAGGTTTATCTTTTTAATTATCGTGTCTTATTCTATTGCATTAATATGTTGTTAACTTTAGAACTACGCGCGTGATATGATAGGCCTACATTCTGACATTTATTTGAATATGCTACATGTGTATGCTTGGTTTTTGGACTGATAACGAGTAGTAAGTATCGATGTGTTTAGCTAAATAGAAGCGTGATAATCCATAAAGCTAGATAAGGACAATTCGTTTAAAAGAAAGCTACACTTTATAAATCTATTAATAAAAATGTAATATTCTAAGAAAAACAGGTTTTTAGATTTACCAGACGCCAGCAAGGTGTTGTGGTTTACGATATTAATTGAAGTTGCAGATTAAATATTCTTATTTAAAGACGTCTTTATGCAAAAAGTCTGATCTATTTAAGACATCAGTATTCTCAGAAATTGGTTATCCGAAGCGGATACCAAGTTCTGACCAGCAGACGAACAATTGGAGACATAGGTTATGTTTGTTTATTTAACGGTCAGACTTGTTGACTTGCCGATCCGTATTTTCAACTTTGTGCGAACACGTTCTGTTTATTATTCCTTTATACTTTGTATTTGCTGAGCAATGACTGATTTGATAGTTTTATTCAAAAATTTTATTGTCCATTTTTTATATTTTTAATAAGTGATGTTTGATAAGTAAAAAAATTAAGAAATGGTGTAATTCTTTGTGGTAAATCATAAGATTGATTATGTCTAACCATGAGATAATGAAATGACTGAGGTAAGATATAAGCATTTGTTATGGAAGACATATTATCAATATATCAGGTATATCACATATAAAAATAAATACAGCGTTGTTGCAAATTGAGCAATTGTTTTAATAATATAATAAACGGGGCCGTTGGAAGAAACATTACAACATATTGATATTGAGCGTCATGTGTTGTTTGAACTGTCTTGTCGCTCATAATTACATCAGCCAGTTGTCCATAATCCGGCGTTTCTCAGTCTGGTATGCTTTTCTGATTTTAGGAATGGTTGCAAAACGGCAAGATTTCCCATGTTATGTCCTTTTAATGGCCATTTTGTATGCCTTTTATTTCCACACCATGTTTTGATTTTGCCTTGATGCTATTGTGTCATAGTGTTTTTGCTTTAAAAAAGCAAGAAATATCAACTTTTTAATTAAAGAAATGTTGGTTAATCTCTTGTTGTAAATCACATTGTTGATGATGTTAACGGACCATGAGATAACATATTGTCAGGGGAAAGATATCAATAATATAAAATAAATATTATAGATATTAATTGTTTGCACTGAAGTAATGTGACTATTCTAGCGAATCAGGTAGATATTTCTACGGTTTTCCGGTTTTTCCGTAATGAAAGCATTTATTTTTCGTTTCCATTAATTTGACTAGTAGGGTCGTTGATAAACACATTAAAACTGTAAAAGTATTTATTGGAAGTACTTGTTTTAACTGTCTTGTCGCCTCTCTTTTTGACTCTCAAAGTCAAATGGCATAGCCGTAGCCAGGGGGGGGGGGGGTGCGATGCATAACCAATAAAATAGAACCATGAAATAGAAGAAGAGAAAGAAGCTTCTAGCTCAATTTTGAAGGAAGTTGCATCTTTTGGCCTGCTTTTGCCACGATTGCACCCCTCTCCCGAATGAAAACCGAGATTGTTTTTCTTGGCGATCGTATCCCCCCCCCTGACTGAAAGTTGGCTATGCCCCTGAACATGGATAATAGGGGCACTATTATTAGCGTACAGAGTCTAGTTATAAACTATAAGAAGACGAAACTCTCTTTTTCATACACATGCCTGCATAACAATCGGAGACAGAAGTTTTAACATTGTCCAACAAAAATAATAAGAATCTAACATTTAATGATAACAAAAGGATTAATTGCTATGTAGTCTTTGTTTTTTAACTGCGGACGTATACCAACATCACCTTGATTACAAAAAAGATTATCTAACAGTCTAGAATTGCTCCTGGGTTTTAATTACAGTTTATGAATAGAGTTATTTTTGCCTCTATTCTCATTTTTAAACCGGTCTCTGTTTGCTTATCCATTATTTGTGATAAATTATTTCAGTTAGAGTCGAAATCAAACACCAAATAAACCGGATTAAAATAAGCCAGTCTGATTGCGAATTTGCAAATCCTGTAAAAGTAACTTAAAGCCGCCTTTTAATTAGAGAAAACAATAAGCTTATCCATCTGATTAAGAAGAAATCAATGCTATTTGAATCGTGCATTATCTTCAAGCAAGCCAGTAAGACAATCAACGATCTGGCGTTTTGTTTAATCCCCGCCAGTTTAAATTCAATATTGACCAATGCATGACTTAATATTTTCATTCTACAAGCATTGCAGTGTTTTAATGATTGTATAAACCACATTGTTACCATCCCCGATGCACCATCAGGCCTGTCTCTCAACCCGAAGTTGTATATCTGTAATTTGGGGGGGGGGTGACGTTCATGTAGAAATATACAATAATTATGTCCGTGTAAAAGCTAAAATTATAAAAAATCTAATTTCAAAGTCATTCTATTCATGGAAGCGTCAAGTTATGAAAAACAATGCTAAATACTAAAATAAACAAATCGACTAGATTACTTTTGAAAACTTCCTGAGAGGAAATGGACACATGTATTTTCCTAACTCATTAGAACGTCTGTCTGATTGAAATACTATTTTTCTAAATACAATATAAATGAATAAATCTTGGTTGCAAAATAATGCTGAGCCTAATAAAAAATTCAAATACTTTCTTTTGCAAATTCCTGAAGAAACTAAAGGATTACAGGTTTGGTTAGAATAAACTGCTTAAATTGTACATTTTAAAACTATTAGTGTGATTTGAAACCCGGGATTTGAAACAAGTTTGTATTGAAGGTCTGTTACAGAGGGGCATACAATGTCCCATTTACTCACCCCTCATCTCCCATACCCGATCTTATTTATGTCTCCAGTTTGTTTCTTGTATATTAATATTTGAAATCAAGTCATTAAGAATGCCAGGGGCCAGTTTGGGGGTTTGATTCTAGTTATTTTCCTTTAGTCATAGTCTGACTTATATGAAAATATGGAAATTCGGAAGATACCAATTACCTTTTTCAAATGGCAACATAGTGAAATTTTAGCACAAGAGCACGAATCAATAGTTTAAAGCAAAAGCATTTGAATATTGTAATTTAAAGCGTTTAAACTTTCATGAGATTATACTTTTGGTTCCCATGATTTGACATCTTTGATCACCTGCAGTTAAGTATCTAGAAAAACATTGCTACTGTAATTAACTGTTAGACGCAGACGATCTTTTTTCCTTCACACAATATACATGTACATATTCACAAAAGGCATTCCCAGCTAAATCACACGAATTGGTGTGATTGTGTAATTGATGTGTTATAATCTCTTTTTATTGAATAAACCTTAAACTTTTCTTCAAACTTAACACATTGCCCTTGGTATATAACCAATATCCCCCGGAACCCCTCTCAATAAATACCCTGTATGATTAAATCGAGTTACAAGCCCTCCTGACAGTTGTTAAAGTGGATTGTACAGGGTCTTGAATAACTAGTATGATTTACATGTAAAACAAAATGGTAATCGCGCATTTGTTGGTGAATGCTCAAGATTTGCTGCACAATCATTCCCCGATTCAACAGTGGTGCAAAAAGCCATCCTTTGATCATTTGTTTAATCAAAAGTTCATGTAATGAGGATTAGAAAAATAATGAAGTCTTAAATAATAATCTCTGCTGAAAATGATACCCTTATACTTGCAAAATCAAAACCTGACTCGACATATTTCTAGTGATGCAATGAACGACCTGCGATTTTTAACAAACGCCAAATCCCAACCGCCGAACGTTAACACTTAATGCTGAATATTAACACATTAAAAAGTGACAAGAAACAAAAGGATTGTCTTCAAAATGCCAAACAGCCCCTGGAAACAGTCACATGTTTATTTCTATGCTACCGTATATCGATGGAAAATATGTTAAAACTAACTTTAAACAATATCAAGTTGGTCTATTTTTAAAATTAATAATCTTGCATATAAGTGGCTTATCAGATCAATGATCAATCACTTATTCCATTTTAATCCTACAGGTCGGGAGGGAGCTGTGGGGGGTTACATATAATGAAATTTCTACATGCAAGATCATTTTCACATGTGCAGATACATGTATGATTAATAAAGTCGATGCCATGAGATTTGTGATTGGGTTTTATCAAAAAGAATATCACCAAAATATTTTATCATCGTGTAGAAAGTCCAATCTAAAATCTGGTAAATGTGTTGCATTTATTGAAGCAATAACACTGTAATTAATACCACTGTAAAACTATATTGCAAATGTTTGATATGAAATTCGATTGTCAGGAGTACGAAATACACATCAATACTTTTACATAATATCCAGTGTATTATAATAAGATGTTATGACAAAGTCAATTAAAAAACTTCAGTTTCAGTAAAACTAGTTGTAAAACTCCCTAAATCTGTTAAAGGGAAGCCCCGGGGGAAGCCTTCATTCAAGCACTGACGTTTAAGTTTATGTTTAAGAGGAAGAATTCAGTATCCCGTGTGTTCACTACCCCCCTCCCATCCCAAATTATTTAACTTCATGTATGCTCTTTCATTTCTGTGATTGATAAATGTAATCAATATGATAGCTCTATATTACTCAATTCTTAAGTCGCCAGGAGGCGTTACTTAAAAGTGCCTCTTCGAATCTCAGCCTGAAAAACAATTCCTAGCCGATCTCCTGTAATCAAGTTAAACATTCCCAGTTATGAAAACAATGAAATTGATATCACTGATTGATTGGACAAGTATTAGAAATTTGTCTCCAATTGTAATACATACAGATGTATCGTTTTTTGAAATCCTCGGGATATGCATTAAGTGAAGCAAAGCTGAAAAGTTTCATCTTAAACATAACCAAAATTAAGCACGGAGCTACATTTTGCACTTTGGAACTTTCAACGTGTATCTAGTTTTTTGAAGCTCCGGCCACCGTACGCCCCCCGTAGAGAAAATGTGCGCAAGGTTTAATTTTAATCTTATTGAATTATGTTAATTAGTTGCTTGGATGGTAGATTGTTTGTTTGCTTGCTTATCTGCACGATTGATTGCTTGATTGACCGTTTACTTGCTTACATTCTTTCTTTGTTGCTTAGTTGCTTCCTTGGTTTCTTTGCTGGATTAGAGTTTGATTAGTTACTTGATTGGTTGGTTTGTCGGTTGTTTGCTTGCTTTATTTGTAAGTTGCATGTTTTTTTACTTGCTTAGTTTCCTGCTTGCTATGATGGTCGTTTGCTTGGTTGCTTGGTTGCTTGCGTGGTTGGTTGCTAGGTTATTTATTTGAAACTTGTCTAAATATCCATAGGCTTAGCCAGGGGGGGGGGGGGTTGCGAATAAGAATAAGACCCTGAGAAAGAGGAGAAAAAGAACTTTAAAGCTTTTTATTTGAAGCTTCTAGCTCAATTTGGAATGAAGTTGCATCTAATTTTGTAAAATTCAATATAAAAATCATTTTTTGGCTGGTTTATGTCACAATCGCACCCCCCGATTATGTCACAATCGCACCCCCCCCCCCCCGACTGAAACCCGAAATCTTTTTGGCGATCGCACCCCCCCCCCCCTGACTGAAAGCTGGCTATGCCCCTGATATCTGTTATTGGCCATAAATAAAACTATATTTATATTGTGAGCAATTATGGGTTTTGATAATAATTGGCTTTATACATGTATAATTAATCAAATGTCATATTGTATCATGTTGGCTAAATCGTTTCAAGTGAAATATTTAGAACTGAAATCGGGGTTCGCTTAGTTTGAGTCAGGGAACAATCACACAGACGGATTAATTAATATTTGTTTTGATACATGAGTATTATAGGTTATAGGCAGTATCATGAGAACCAAGTAAACGTGTATAGGATTATTTTTTGTTTATTCGGAATTGAGTGAACCATCTGTAGTTTTAATTAAGGATCAATAAATACATCTAATCAAGATCAAATATTAGAAATCTATTTTTGACTGGATAAATTTTTGTTCGAATGTCAAACAGAACCTTCACGTTCTTTATCCATTTGGAACTTTGGTTTGAATTATTTCAATCAAATGTGTGTTGATACCCCGGGCCAATGCCATTAATTGACAAAATGTTGCAATACATCGCACGCTCGGTCTTAACTGTGTTCATCGACGGGAGCCGAGTGAACGAAGATGGTTGCAATAGGGGGGGGGGGGGCATTATTGTCTTTATTACAAATTACTTTTACACATTATAACATACATAGTAAACGCGACCCGATCGGGGAAGGGATTGGGGTTGTGCACAATTTGCTATCTCTTTATACATGTTTTATTGCCAAATTAATATGAAAACAAGCTGGAGTAACATAAATATTTATTTAGTATTTTGTTACCACACATCAAAAGGCGCATTTGAAGTTCAGAAAATGCAAGAAGACTTGGCTAGATATTATGTACTTATATATTTATATGTTACGTATTTATTTTGTATTCAATTCCAATTCTCGCACTCCTTGAACCACCCCACCCCTTGGCTACGGGTATACGTACATTCGGCACACGGAGAGAATAATATTAGACTTCTGCAATGCAACTAATAAGAGAGACCTAAAATGAAAATAATGTAACAAGTGCTCTACTTTGGTGATAAAAATAACTGTTCCTGTAAAAATATACAATTGTAGTCCATCACAAAGTTCATTTATTTCATGAAAGCGTCAAGGGACAATGCATCTAAACACTAAGATAAACAATTAATTAACTTCTGAAGAAACATCCTGTAGTGGAAAAAAACAAATGGCCTTTCATAACGGATTAGAATAGCCAGTCTGTCTGATTGTATAATATATTAGATACATTTTAAATTCCTTGGGAAATGAAAAATAGTTTTTTCTGGCTGTTTAATGAAAACATAAAAATAAAAAGATGAAAATTTCCCATTCATTAACATCTACATACCCCTAGTGGTATGGGCCGTGTGATTGCTACAAATGGACATGCATAATAGATGATGTATTTGAAAGTTGGCTTTGCCTCGATGTATTGGTTAATGAATGATATTATAAACTTTATTGATCGTGAATTCACCTTTCCAAATTCAAATCCCAAATAAATAAAGCACACAATTCAAGCGTGACACAAAAAGAGCAAAACTGAAAACCCTTTAACCTATAGTGCCCGACATTATGTTAATAAATAATTTCTACATGTTGAAATATATTGCTATTTGATTGAGTTCAAGACAAAACTTTTTGGAATTGTTTCACATAATGTAATATTCCTCGGATTTGGTGCATACAGATGTTTTACAATCAGAGACAAGGGTCTTATACGGGGTATTATATTTGGCAAACCAATCAATAAGTAGTATTAAATTATCACAAGGTAAATAACTTAATCCCTTTTAAAATTGCGGTTAAGTAGCATCTTAATTACAGTAAAGAAAGATCATCTAGGAATTATTTCTGCCTCTCATTCCTTAAACCGGCTTCGTTAAACAGTGTCAAGATATTTAAGTCAGAGCCAAAAACAAGACTATTTTTATATTTAAATCCCCTCACCTTGTCAATGTTTATGTCTGCATCTGGTTTTTCCTACCTTTTGGAGGGAGACAATATACACATAGATTAATTACTGGCCATGGACAGGGGGCACAGAAACGAACATTCTGGGATCATTAGGGATAATTGGGGAAGGGGGATGGGTGGTGTTGAATAGAAAAGTCCGGGAGTGAAGTTAAGGGGTCCTGAAATCTTTCTTTTGATATTCAGTGCTTGAATGGAGACTTGTTTCCACTCCCCGCACTCTAGTAGAATTTAAATATTTGATCCAAAGGAGTTATTTTTAATCAAAAATCAAAAATGATTAAATGCTTGCTGCATGCAAACATACTACACTTAAATTGAAATGCTTTACTTAGTTAATTAACGCAGTAGTCACATGACACACGGATAAGACGTACCTGGGCCGAGGATAAGCAATATTTATCTCTCAATAGGTATGATAAGTGTGAACTTTTTATTCCTGAGAATTAGTAGTTAGTAGTGCTTATTACTTATGGATAAGACATTAAGTATTCTTTCTTAGTAGTGCTTAGAAAATAGTGTTTCACGTTGTGTTGTTCAAATATTTTAAAATGGCACTGAAACTCAAGTATTTGATTTTGACTTTCTAAATTATTCCTTAACTAGTTGCATGATTTCTTATCTACATAATGATATTATACACTTACTTGGGGTATACTTTGGGCAGAGAAATCTAATTTCATAGTCAAGACATCGAGAACCTGGTTTTTGTTCATTGTTGACACACACCAGTCCACCTTCTACTGAACAATCAGAAGCCCTTTTAAACAACTGACCGGTTCTCGAAGCAGGAACATGGGTTCCTACTGTCCTGCATCCTATTGCTATTGGATTCTGACATGGCATCACCTGGAATATATGTACACAAACACAGGGATCAGTTTTCGAAGCAGGAATATGGGTTCCTACTGTCCTGCATTCTATTGCTATTGGGTGCATCACCTGGAATGATATTGAAACGCGGGGTGTGTAAGGGGAATTTATTTAGATGTTCTAGCCGCATTGACACTCTACCGCATTCATTACTATTAAAAAAGCTAGAATCGTTTTAGGTATTGAGCCTTCCATCATATCCCTTTTAAAGTCATATTTGTTCAAGAAACTATAGAACGCATATACAGGGTGTCCCGAAAGTATGCCCTCCCCCTAGGCAGACATATACCAGTGTTGTCATAGTATGTGTCATATATCATTTTAAAGCTTATCCAAAGTTACATTGATTTGCCAAGTATCATGGTTCAACTCTCAAATGTGAAAAAATCACAGGCATTTCAAAATTGAGTGTTTGGTCAAAATTAAGTTCAATTTTACACCAAATCAATAGTCAAAGTGTCCACCCGGGCAATCGTAACAGCAGCAATTCTTTTCGGGTCAGATAGATATTGAGTTGGAGAAAGAGAACGGTGAGGGTAGAAACTCTAAGGAAACTCTTCTAAAGTGCCTTAACAGGTTTTAAGAGGGTTATAAAATTCCACACCCCTATTTAAAGGGCTTTTAAGGTCATATCTGAAAATAATTACTGCTGTTAACATGGCCAAGGGGGACTCATTGACTTGTAATGTTGTGTGAAACTGAACTTTATTTTGACAAAACACTAACTTTTAAACTTTTTCCCATTTGGGAGTTAAACCATGATACTTGGCAAATCAATGTAACTTCGGATAAGCTTTAAAATGATATATGACATATACTATGAGGACACTGGAATACCTCTGCCTAGGGGGGGGGGCATACTTTCGGGACACCCTGTACATGTATTACATATGAAATACTTCCTTGCTTTTTTATATGTACATATTGACATTTTAAGATTTTTGACGTACTTGTATACCGCCATGGGTATATTGTTTAGATATGCCATAATTTGCTTACCGCACCCAGTCCCTTTTCGAGGCTCTCCCTATCCTCCCAATCACCAGTGCCACTAGCATCATCTCTGTCTATCCATGAAGACCAGGACGCTGCTGTAAATATCAGAACTCAAACTGTCTGAATGGTTGATACAAAGTAACATTTCAAATGGCACTGAAACTCAAGTATATAATTTTTGGCACTTTATTTTTACCCTAGGTGCATGAAACAATGATATTATGTACTTACTTGGTGTATTCATTGGGCAAAGAAACCTAATTTCATAGTCAAGACATCGAGAACCTGGTCTTTGTTCATTGTTGACACACACCAGTCCACCTTCTACTGAACAATCAGCACCTTCTTTAAACACCTGACCAGTTGACGAAGCAGGAATATGGGTTCGTACTGTCCTGCAATCTATTGCTAGTGGATTCTGGCATGGCATCACCTAAAATACATCGTGTACATAAACACATCATCTTTGTGCGATGCAGGAATATATATTAGGTTCGGTAACCGGACAACTCATCCCCTAGACGACTCATCCCTGGACAACTCATCCCCTAGACAACTCATCCCCTGGACAACTCAATATCCATTAGAATTGAAACGTCAAAGCGGGATTTGTTGGGAAACATATGAGAAAGGAGTTAAAAATTCATAAAACATGTTTGCCATCCAAAAATACAATAAAATCATTGTAGACTACTTACCGCACCCAGTCCCTTTTCGAGGCTCTCTCTATCCTCCCAGTCTCCAGTACCACAAGTGTCATCTCTGTCTATCCATGAAGACCAATAAGTTGCTACAAGACACAGTATTTCAATTGTTTTCAAGTCAAAATCATTTTCTAAATAAAAAGTCTGAATCTGGGGTCTTGAACTGAATTTCGTCAATCTAGTTCTTCAACTATCATGGTTGACTTAGATATGAATCAGGCTTTCTGGGTAATTAGGTCAAACCTTTATCTAGGTCAAAGCTAAAAAACTAGTTTGTCCTTATACTTATATATTTCTTGCGATGAATTAAATTGTAACTAGATTTAAGCATTTAAGCATACAAATTGCTCGCTATATATCAGCATTAGATTTTTACCGTTGTTTAGATATTGGACGTCAAAAACAGTAAAATCGTTTATTTTTCAACATGCTTCAAATTTACATTTTTAAAAAAATCATCTACAAAGTTTAAGGAATTCAAATCTGACCTTAGTTTTGCAGATCAAGCATAAAATTGACCTTCAGTGACCTTGAAAGGTAAAAAAGTGGATTTTTCAAATTGATCTTTTTGGATTCAAATTTATTTAATCACAAAAGACCTACTGAGGTCTAAACCGCAGGGTCAACGGTCAAGGTCATCAAACTGAGTCAAAAATGGTGTTATCTAAATAGCTCAAAGTTCGAGACTCCAAATCAATATTTTGGGTTGAAAGACGAATATACATATTCTTCTAAAGGTTCTACACATATTAGCAATTTATTATCTATTGAAATTCTGCACAAGTTTTTAGATTAAAGAGCGCAGAAACTGGGAAAAGGGTCAAATTTTTGAAAATCAATATGATGATATTCACATGTTAAGTCATAGGTTAAGTAAGCTACTTACTCATTTACCTAGTCAGATACTTACTCAGCTACTAACTTCTTACTTAGCTACTTACTCAGCTCTCTACTCAGCTATCCGGGTCAATTCAATTTGGAGAATTCAATTTAACTCCAGATGTAAATAAGGTCAACTTTCAAGCTAGATCAAAGGTCAAAAACTATTACACCACTTTTCTCAGTCGTTCTTCAGTATTTTTTCTTGGTCTTTCTTTCATCATGTTCCTTGTAAACAAAGCAAATGGCGAAAGGCAATTCGTTTTTTGATTACTCTTACCGAATTTGAGACATGGCGTCCGAAACGAAGGTCAGAATAAGAAAATCTCCTTTAACGTGTGAAAAGGTGTAGAATTGTTTCAGGAATCCGAATCTGCCAACAGAAGTTATGACGCTATATTTTTGGTATCTCATGTGAAGTCAATGAGGCCAAAGAAAATTGTGAATTGTAAAAATACGAGTAACAAACTGAATACAAATAAAATTAATAATGAATGCCTACCATAGAAGAGGATCCCATAAGCTACTGGGACACTGGAAAGCCAAGGTCAAAACTACTGTAGGTCAAATCTTACATTTTAAACATTATGTCAATCATTCATTGTAACTCCTTCATCTTCTTTTCATCATAGAGCCCTTTCACAAAGGTCACTGCCGTTTTTTGATTACTCTTACCGATTTTGAGATATGGAGTTCGGAAAATAGGTCAAAACAAAAAAGTTTTCCAAATTTTCCCAAAATCCGAATCAACAAACAAAATTTCGATCCGACTTCCGGTTCAGAAGTTATATCGTTTCGAAATCTCAAAAAGACGCTATTTTGGTATCCCTTGTTAACTCAATGGGATCGAATAATACTATATTTAAAGCACTCTATTAAAGAAGGGTCAGTTCACAAAGCAATTTTCAACACAATGTACAAAAAATACATAAATGGTCAGGAAGGCAAGGCTTTCCCCTATTTTGCCAATATTCAGGAGATCCTGATAAAACATGGTCTGGATGGCATCCTTCAAAGGCAGGATGATAACTGGTATAAAACATACATCCAGATCTCAAATGATTTAAGCCATGTAGCTTTCTTCTCTTCAATAGGGGAGAAGTCATCCCTAAATCTTTACAAATGTTTGAAAAGTAATCTCTCTAAGGAAAATTATATGAACTCAGACTTTGATTTCTATGGTCAGAAACTTAAATTCATGGCCAGAACGGGATGTTTTGGCCTTCGCTCCGACCTTCAAAGATGGGGTCAAGGCAATGGTATATGTCTCTTTTGTAACCTCAATGTTAAAGATACTATACAGCATAGACTTTTTGTCTGTCCCTACTTTGGTAGTGATAGGAATGTATTTTTCAATAATGTTGTGTCAAACTGCAACCACCAACTCTCCTCTGACTTTCTAGCAGGAAGTGTACAACTAAAAACATGTTGGGCTCTGGGAGATGACACTTTATTCTTGTGGGGACATGATAATTACGTGAAGTTTGACAAATATGTCAAATTGTTTTTAAAGAAAATACATGTACAGTGCACACAATAGTCGTATGCATGTTTTTAGTGGCCTTTTGCATGATATGTTTTATCCCATTTATATTTTATATATGATGTATTGGATGCACCGATTGAGTGCCGCTGCTCTAAAAGCGTTTTCAAAATAAATAAATAAAAAAAATAAAAATAAAAAAATATAGAAGATGACCTCAAAAGCTACTTTAATTCAAAATTTGGGCACTGAAAATCCAAGGTCAAAATTTAGGTCAAATTTATATTTTTGCGATTCTGACACTATACTTTCATAATATTCTTCAAAGTTTGGTTTCTTCCCAGGTATAACTAAAAAGAACAATAAGCCCTGCAGTGCTCATTACATGCTCATGTGTTTTCAACAACAAAAGCTCACTCAAGCACACTAACAGTTTATTGCAATCGAACTCCAGTGGTGCACTAGCAACAAGCCGCCGCGGTTGACACACCCGAGCAGCCGACAAGGTTGTCACAGCGTAATTAGTGGTTTAAGTGCGCTTGGATGAACTGTTTTCGTTGAAAACGTGTGAGCATGTAATTTGCAACGCATGTGCTCATTTTTCTAGTTCGTGATACTTAGGTGATACTTATTATAAATCAGAATTGAAATACGACATAAGTCAGCTGCTTAATTACTCAGCTATCTACTCAACTATTTACTCACCTACCTACTCAACTTTAAAATGGAGTCTTATATTGAACTCTGTTCAGTTAACCATTTTAGTTTTATATTTGTTTCTTATATCTTTTAAAAAAATCGGGTTTACGAAAAAGACCGACCCCACCGACCACCGACCGGTCAGTGTTTTCCACTGGTAGCCTCAAAACAGGGTTTGAAGAAAATGTGTAAAAGACCGACCATATCATGTAAAAGACCGAACATATTTGTAGCCTTAAAATATCAATAATTTGATTTTGAATGTCAATCGTTCGACTAGGCAACGTTTTTTACCGATTTTGTACCTTGCAACGAATGGCAAGCAAACAAATTGGGTATGACCGTCTCCTCTCGATTAATTGTCCTGCCTTAGGTCCTAACCTATCATTAACCAACCTATCGTTTCTACGGGAATCTATCCTAATTTCTTACGGAAATTTAACAATTTCGAAACAAAAATGATTTGTTATCGTCATAGCCTACTGAATACTGAACACGATATAATGTTACATGCGTTCTCTTATCAGGATTATAAGTGACTTACCATTTCAGTACACCATTAGAAAGCTTTTTTTGTCATATCAAATGTAGTTTTTACCAGTTGACGTTTAACAACTGAGAAATCAAACATAACGTTACGACGTCAACATCGACGATGTTTGTGTGTTTTTGTTATTGCGTTTCATATGAATGAACTTAATGCAATGTTACGTGCGTTTTTTTCCAAAGTGACTAACCAGGATAAAATTGGTCTTCTAACAACTGAAACATCACTTAAAAATATGACATTACACACCACGACGATGTAACGTTTTCATCGTGATTTGAAATGATTAACTATACGTTTTTAAATCACGACCTAGTAATAGAGGCTGACGGTAATTCCGGTTATACGGTTTCGGTACGGAATTGAGCATTTACCGGTATTGAAATTATTAACCGGTTAACCGACGATAATCCCCGGGGAAATAAAAGACACGTCGTTTTTTTAAATTATTTCGTTTAATTTCCACTTTCACGATGCGTACATTTACATAGACATTTAGATGTCCATGTTTGGCAGTTCAGGTGTGATTTCCATGTTTGGCAGTTCAGGTGTGATGTCCATGTTTGGCAGTTCGGCTGTAGTAGCTTCATGCTCAGGCTCAGATTTGGTTGTAGTTATGTTTGGCAGTTCCGGTGTAGTTGTAGTGTCAACGTCAGATCCAGAAATTGAATTATGTTTGTAATAGTCATTTACGAAAAACAAATGTTTTTACGAACAAAGGAGTGGTATCGATATGGAGAACTTTTTGAACACACGTTTCTCTTAAACCAGTCATAAGAAAAATCTAAAAATTTAACACATCATCAATTTAATGGTCATCTTTTGAATGGTAACAAAATAATTTGAAATATATATATATACTTACATCTATATTATTTTAGAAAACACATCAAACACTTGTTTTGTTCTTGGTATCATGTTTCCAGAGTGAAATGAAACATATTTCCGAACCTCATTGGAACAAAACGACATAAACATAACATGTTTAGGTCTCTCAATATTGTAATTGTACAAAGGAAATTTTGGTTGATTTCAGAAAAGTATATTGTTAATGAATAAAATAAAAGGTTTATCTTGATTTTTATCTATTTTGGGGGGATTTTGTTTTAATTTTTTGAATACTTTAAAAATTCCTTTGTATATATATAATAGGATTTTATTAGTACTGATGCCCTTTTAGGGTCAAACGTACATCCGATATACAATTTTCAATAACAGTAAATATAGCAATAAGTATAGAAAATAGGATTACATTCTTCAAATGACATATAAAATGTTACTTTGATATAAGAATCCTGTCTCTACCAATCATTAGATACTTTATCATGTCAGCAGATTCTTTTAATATGATCCCCTCACTCGTCAATAGAAAAATTGTCTTTTGGTGGTCATTCATGTTTTTAAAATTACTACACAGGTTTTCAAGTTTTTCAATATGGGATTTTCTGATAAACTCCATGTATAACTATAATATTGAGAGGCCTAAAAACATGTCGTATATGCTATTTTGTTCCAACAAGGTTCGGAAAGACATTTTATTTCATTCTCAAGAATTGGTAGAAAGGAACAAAAAACTGCACTAAAAAAACAAAAAATGTTAACAAAAACAGTTATATAAAATATTTCTAAATAATTTTCGCATTAAATTGTAGTCAATCAGTCAACATTACATAAAATGCCGGGTTTTTTACAGAATGTTTTCAATGATTGGTTAAGAGAAAAAGATTGTTGAATTCAGTTCTCCATATCGATACCACTCCTCTACAAACAACAAGGCATTGACAACCTCAGGTTGAAGTCGTGCCCGTTTGGAAGTGATGGTGTTGCCAGCTGCACTGAATCTATTTTACCTACCCCACCCCCATGTATACTGCACGTCGCTTGCTATCGATACAGTTGAGAAATGGTTTGAAATGTGTAATTCATTTAATATAAAACTAAATATTATACATCTTGATTCGTAAGGTAGTTACATACTATTTCGTGAAGTTCATCAGTATTGGTTCAAATCGGTCTCGCACTATGTATGCATATAGACTTGAGAAGCTACGGAGAGAGTCAGGAACAAAGTGGGGGTGGCAGCGCATTGATATTTTATCTTACATATCTTTACCGGTATTTCGGTAACGGTACGGTTATTAGCGTGACGGTTACCGGTACTGGTTTTCAGTACCGTTGCGACCTCTACCTAGTAAAGGTACTATAGTCATTGGATTCCCATTTTTAGTTTTACTTCTAATTTTGCAATTTTTCATCTTTATGTAAAAGACCGTCATCCGACCACCGACCACATGTACCCAACTGTGGAGAGTGACTGGTCGGTGGTCGGTGGTCGGCGGTCGGTGTTTTTCGTAAACCCCAAAGAAATCTCCAAATTCTTACTAACAAACTAAAAAATTATATTTACCTTGAGCCGCTCTTTTTGCAAGTGGTGATGTAAGCACTGTCGTGCTAGTATACAAAAGAACACAGGCAATGCAGAAAGAAAATCCCATCTTTTTACTTCAAAGTTTAATCGAACGTAATACGCAAGTTCAGTCTCAGTTTTAATTTAATGTTTCGCTGATATGATAATTGTCGTCTGACTTTTCTCATAAAATTGACTGGCTTTTATAGTTTCTGTATGACGCAGGAGCATTCTTCTGATGGTTTATGATCTAGGACGTAAGTGTCAAATTAAGTTGTTGTTCGTCAAAAGACATGGAATTATAACGAAAACACTTGTAAAAATCGTTAAATAAAATTGAAGAGTTTACTGTTTTTTAAATTATGAATATTTCAGCTGTTACATAAATACCTTTTTGCACCTGATGTCTAATGTTATTTATTCTAGAACTCAAGAGTCGCATATTTACACAGTTCTTAAGTATATTGTTGTTATCAATGGATAAGACGATGATGTCATCAGTATCAGTCGCTGGTTTTAACCAACAAAAAGTAAACCCAGACTGAAGTTTAACCAATGAAAGTTCAGAGCTATTATAAATCGATAATCTTCCTTGTTCCCTGTTCCTTGAATATTCAATAAATAAAAACAAGTTGTTTTGTGTGAAAATCAAATTTCGGAAATTATATGCATGATCAAAATTATGTAATCTTATTGGCTCTGCTGCCTACCCAAACGGATATGACAAGGTCAGTGGGCCTTATGTGTTCCTCATTTTGCACTTATAACAATGTTTCACTGGATATCTCCAAAAGGAGATGAATTCTATTGAAATGGACCTCAGAAATTAATTCCGCCTGGAAGAATTGAGGAAGATATTAGTATACTTATCTAAAACCTACAAAAATGACAATGTGGAAATAATGGGATGATTTTTCAATAAAAGAAAACCAAGCTAATATCGTATCCCTTTTAGATGCGATAAAAACGCATCAAAGGATTTTCGAGGCCACATTTCAAGAGAAAAATAAACTCCACACTTTTCTAAAGCTCAGTTTTTTAAGTTACATCATGTTTAAGAACATATAGCGACACTGTATTGACTAGCACAACATATTCAAGTTTAAGTTTATTTCCTCTATTCCATTCGAAAAATTATCTAGTATCCAAGATAATCAAAGTTTTGGGAACAATTCTACATTAATCGAATCCTGACGTTTTGAGGTGTTGAGATTCTAAAAAAACATATCGTCCAAGCAAGTGGTTCTGTTCAGTGCACGTTCATTTGATACTTCCTTTTCCTTATTTCGGGCAGAGATATCTCACTTCATAGTCCAGACATCTAAAGCCATATTTCTGATCACTGTTCCGACACACGAGTCCCCCTTGAACTGAACAGTCAGCTGTTTTTGTAAACACCTGGTTAGTCCTCGAAGCAGGAATATGGGTTCCTACAGTCCTGCATTCTATTGCTATTGGGTTCTTACATGGCATCGCCTAAAATATATGTACATAAAAGTCCGATCAGTTTTCGATGCAGGAATACGGGTTCTTGCAGTCCTGCATTCAATTAATTTGCTATTGGGTTCTTACATGGCATCACCTAAAATATATGTACATAAAAGTCCGATCAGTTTTCGATGCAGGAATAAGGGTTCTTGCATTCCTGCATTCAATTAATTTGCTATTGGGTTCTTACATGGCATCACCTAAAATATATGTACATAAAAGTCCGATCAGTTTTCGATGCAGGAATAAGGGTTCTTGCAGTCCTGCATTCAATTAATTTGCTATTGGGTTCTTACATGGCATCACCTAAAATATATGTACATAAAAGTCCGATCAGTTTTCGATGCAGGAATAAGGGTTCTTTCCTGCATTCTATGGCTATTGGGTTCTTATATGGCATCGCCTAGAACATATGTACATAAACACCTGATCAGTTTTCAATGCAGGAATACTTGTTCCTACAGTCCAGCCTTTTGTTACAATTAGATTCTGACATGGCATGACCTGGGATGCAAAATAAAAATGCATTTGCACTAGCATGTTCTAGAATATAACAAATTAAATTTTTTTATACAGCACACAACATTCTAATTCATTTGTTTTGGTATTTGCACTAGTATGACCTAAATAGCCTGAAATAAATAGGATAGTGTTCAGGCATGACCTAGATTATAACATGAAAAGCTTCTGCAAATCCTTCTTGTTTCGGCACTGGCATGTCCTAAAAGGCTAGAACAAGAAATTAAATCGTTGGAGCACTGGAATGACCTAAATTAAAAGGGTTAAAAGGGTTGGTATAACTATGGTTTGTACACTACAAACATTCATGTTTCTGCACTGGCTAAAGTGACCTAAAAGACTAAAATATAAAATAAGGCTAAACCTTGGTTATGTGGAATGACGTAAATTATACGATGCTGTCAAAAAGGTTGGCATATTTGGATGACCTAGATTATAATACATAAAACCTTGGTACACTGACATGATCTATATTCTAACACAAGAAGTGTATATTTGAAAAAAATTGGAATACAGTATTACACATAAAAGATAGATTGGTGCACTGGGATGTACAGAATAGCCAAACTGAACATGATGAAGGTAATTATTTCTTAATATAGCGATTAATTTGTTGCAAAAATAAATAATGTGTCCTGAAATTTACAAAACCTATCATACTTTTAAAAATAAACACCATTATTTCCTTGCTTCTTTATTGGTATGTATGTAAATTTTTGGCACCATATGGCACCATTTGCTTACCGCATCCTTACTACAAGGGCATTTTACAAGTATATGAATTTAGGCATAAATGAAGTCCTTTGAAGAAGGATGGCTTACCGCACCCAGTCCCTTTTCAAGGTTCTCTCTATCCTCACAGTCACAGCTGCCGCTGGGGTCGTCTCTGTCTATCCATGCAGACCAGGATGCTTCTGTAAACATCAGAATTTAAACTGTCTGAATAGTTAATACGAATTTACAACATTTTAACATGGCACTGAAACTCAAGTTTATGATTTTTCGCAAATTCTAAATTATTCCTAAACTAGGTATATGAGTCCATATCTTCATATTTTACTTACTTGGGGTATTCTTTGGACAGAGGAATCTAATTTCATAGTCTAGACATCGAGAACCTAGTTTCTGTTCATTCTTGACACACACCAGCCCACCTTCTACTGAACAATCAGCATCTTCTTTAAACACCTGACCAGTTTGTGAAGCAGGAATATGGCTTCTGACAGTCCTGCATTCTATTGCTTTTGGATTCTGGCATGGCATTACCTGAAAAATGTATCTACATAAACACATTTGTACACTTCCAGTACCCAATTCCCCATTTCCAAAGTCAAATTTTATCTCTAAACGATTAGCTCAAAATGAGATTAGTCTGTAATTCGAATTTACCATTCCAGTATTCTTAAGAACTAAAATACAAATCGAAAATGTTGACGATTAAACGGGACCAAGATATCAACCTAGACCTGGATGCCATTCAAAATATATGACAACCCATCATTTGCTTACCGCACCCAGTCCCTTCTCGAGGTTCTCTCTATCCTCCCAGTCTCCAGTACCACTAGTGTCATCTCTGTCTATCCATGACGACCAATACACTGTAAACAGCAAAAGGTAAGTGTCTTGGGGCAAATTTACAATAATTGGTATTTTCAAATTCTTTTGTGCTACTAAAGCCTGGTCAATGTGAGTTGATAACGACAATATTAAAAGGATTGGGGTAGAAAGACGTTGGGCGTGGGCTCTACAGGTGCTCAAATATGGTTTAGGTAAAAAGGCGTGGAGTGTACGTTAAAATGTATTTTTGAGGTGGATCCCGGCTATGGCATTAATGGTTGAGAAATAGGGATCGAAACCAGCCATAATTTTCTCCTGATGACCATTGTGAATTGTTTTGTGTTTTATGTATTATGATAACGGCTTTGCGAACGGATGTTGACCCTTTGAATTGCCTTGGACTTCGAGACTGGATTTTATCTATCCCACATCATTTGAGACGGAATACTCTATCTTTTATGAGTACTAGTATCTACAACTATTTTTGATGTTATTTCAATTTTTCAATTTTTCTTCATCATGTATTGTGATGACTTCAGTATGAATGAAATGTCCCTTGGTGTTCTGGTCCTGGATTGTAATATTGGTTCTCGATTGGAGGGGGGAGGGGGATGTTAGACATTGTTTATTTTCACGTTAGATCATTGTTTTGGGATATATAGAGTCTACTTTTCTTATGACAGATTTACAACTACAGTTTGCTTTTCTTGTTGGGTTTCTTTACCGTTTTTAGTCACCCTTCCCTTTGGCATTTGTGCTTATATATTTATTAGTATAGCTGAGTGAGAAAATTGAGTGCAATAAAATTGATAGGGTGGGAGGCGTTTCAATGACCCTTTCTTTCAGCATGGGCTTTCAGCAATTTTCAAAAGGTTCGTCCAGTGTAATTAATGTGTGGAATATTTAATTCAATTGATCGATGACGTTTTGCGGCTTATTCCTTGAAAGTACTGCTGGAATAATATTTGCCGACTCAAAATAGAGCTATTTTAAATCATTCTGATCTAAAATTATCCTTTTTCATACTAGGCCTACATGATTGTAGTCATAAATCTCCAATTCTCAATGGTATGTAATTACGTGAAAAAGCGTGTTCTGATTGGCTGGAATTGGCCACAACGTGCCTAGCTATGCGTGAACTGGCCAAATAATGGACCTCTATTAACCCCCAAAGGCGCGCTTTACTGCTTAATACTACACCAACGCCTTTTTACCTAAACCATTTTTAGCACCCTGTAGACCCCACGACTAACGCCTTTTTACCTAAATCCAAATTAAATATGTGCTATTTCGATGAGAACACAGTTGGGGTCAACAATTAAGTGGAGGGTGTAATTTAAAACGCAGCAAAAACTAGATGTAGAAGTATTCAAAAAATCACTTGATAAGTTATTTTGGATTGTAAGATTATCCTGACACAAAGTATTTTGGAACAACGTTTTTTCAGAACCTAAGCATTAATGATTTCGAATAATGAAATAACAAGAAAGGGTGAATGCTCTTACTTGGGTCATTCTTTGGGCATAAATATCTCACTTCATAGTCCAGACATCCAAAGCCATATTTCTGATCACGGTTTTGACACACAAGTCCCCCTTGAACTGAACAGTCAGCTGTTTTCGTAAACACCTGGCCAGTTCTTGAAGCAGGAACGTGGGTTCCAACTGTCCTGCATTCTATTGCTATTGGGTTCTGACAAGGCATCACCTGGAATGGGTCAAGATTGCAGTAAAATTCCATTGACGACCATTATAACGTTTCATTTCATAATATATTCATGGGCACAGATCTAGCTCAGCGAAACAGTGCCCAGTGTTCATTGGAGTCTTGTCTAGCTTGCCGTTACAAAATAAGCATACGGTGACCACACCGTTTTTGAGATAACTGAATCTGGAGAGAGCTACCACTGTAAAGCTACCTATTTCAGAAAATTATTCTGCTCTACATAGTCTCAAAAATCACTCCGCCATCCTTAAAAGTTCTGTTTTTAACCAAACTTGTAAATGTTTCCTGATAGATTAGTACTTAGCCTATCGAGAATAAACCTTGATTCATTTATCAAACACTAGATGGCGCTGCGACGGGACAGAAAGGGAGAAAAAGCTTTTTTATACAGAAAACCAAATAACCAGTACATAAAAACCTTGCTAGTTCTAGATGCAGGAATATGGGTTCCAACTTTCCTGCATTCTATTGCTGTTGGGATCTGACATATTATAATATTTTATTTTAAACAGCATTTGATTTTTGAAATCCGAAATAACACACAGAACCCTTTTACATTGACATGACCTAAATTCTAACACAAAAAGGTTGTTATATTTGCAGAAACCTGGAATATAAAACAGAGAAGGATGGTGGACTGGAGTGAACGGAACACTAAACTGAAATTATAAAAAAATGATGAAAGTAATCAGTTGTTTCTAAAAATAAAAAAATATCGAATGCATTAATTATCGAATGCTTCTTTGCTTTCTTTCAATTAAGATATTTGACTTGTATGCCACTCTTGGTATATTTGTTAGTTGAGTATGCCACAATTTGCTTACCGCACCCAATCCTTTTTCAAGGTTCTCTCTATCCTCACAGTCACAGTTGCCGCTGGGGTCGTCTCTGTCTATCCATGAAGACCAGGACGCTTCTGTAAACATCCAAACTTAAACTGCCTGAATGATTCATACAAAGGAGAACCCCCGATAAGGAGAGCCTTTTTTAGAAGGACATTGCTTTTTTTATTCTGGATGTGGTCATCATGGAAGTTAAACACTACATCAGAGATGATCTTAGATGTTAGATGATCTTAGATATTCCCAAAAACAACTTGTGTGATATAAAAATTGCTTTTTTGAGAAGTTTTTTTGCAAGGCAATGAACTCGTTTTTAAGGTTAGACTCTTTATTTGTGGTTAAAATCCGTGTATGACCTGAAGGGATAGGAACAAAGTGTCACAGTTGTAAGATACCTACAGGGTGTTCAAAAAAACGCAATCCGAAGAAATCGCTATATCTTGAAAAATACTGGTTCAATTATGTTCATATTTTCAGGAAATAAAGAAGAGACTGTGTATGGATAGCTCCTGTAAATGGTTAATTGTAAAACATGATGCCTTGGACACCTGCTCAAAAGACATTTGTACTTGGAAAATATGAAAAACGCAGTCAAGAGTGACTGCAACCGCAAAAAAATTAAATAACTTTCTAACCATAGTGTTTTGGCTCTTCAAATTTGGCACAAATCATCTTCATTCACTGTATGGTAAATCTGGAGAGTGAAATCAAAATCACTTCAAGGACTTTACAGTCAAGGTTGAAATGCTTTCAAATCGCAGTCAAACGCCCTGGTTCGGGGAGACTTAAGAAGCCATTTTGACCATGACTGTAAAGTCCCTAAAGTGATTTTGATGAAACTCCACAAATATACCACACATTGAATAAGGATAATTTGTGCCAAATCTGAAGTGCCAAAACACCATGGTTAGAAAGTTGCCGTGGCAGTCTCCTCTGACTGCATTTTCATATTTTCCTAGTACAACTGTCATTTGAGCAGGTGTCCAAGGCATCATGTTTTACAACTTACTGACAACAGCAGCTATATATTCACGGTCTCTTCTTTCTTTTCCTGAAAAAATGAACATAATTGAATTAGTATTTTCCAAGATATAGTGATTTTCCATTCACGTTTTTTCGTATTTTGATAGTTCATCTGTCTTTTGAGCAAGTGTCCAAGATATCATGTTTTACAACTAACTAACAACAGGGGCTAAACATACACAGTCTCCTCTTTCTTTTCCTGAAAATATGAACATAATTGGATTAGTATTTTCCAAGATATAGCGATTTCTTTGGGTTGCGTTTTTGAACACATTGTATTTATCTGAACTCTTAGAAAATAAAGAGAAATCAATGGGCGTTTCCCTAAAAATATGTTTTTCAGACATTTTCTACTCATGAGAATGACGGAATAATGGAACCAATTCGTAAAAAATTCTTAAAGTATATTTCTTGTGGAGCGCCCATCGATTTCTTTACGAAAACTAAGACTAGACAATGACGACGCAAAAGCGTAGCAAATCCCATCGAGCAGCGATGGCTGGTATTTTTACAAACGAAGTTCTTAGCAAAATTAGTAAAAATGGCCATCATTTTCAAAATGGTTGCTCACTAGCCAAATTGTCATCAGAAAGTGTAATATGCTTTTTTAAAAGTAGGCAGATATAAAATTTCAACAAAATCACACACATGCACGTACACGTAAATGGCGGCCATGTTTCAGAATGGTCGCTTCCTACCCGAAGTATCATTAGACAGTGTGAAATCCTTATAAGTATCCACGTATCAAATATGAACAAAATCGCTCCACTACTTTCAAAATGGCCGCCTACTACCCGAAGTGTCAGTAGACATTATGCCATGCTTATAGTATTCACATATCAAATATGAAAAAATCGCTCAACTACTTTTTGAGTTAAAGTAAGAAAGAACACATGTAACAATGGCGGCCATTTTTCAAAATGGTTGGCTTCTATCTAAAGTGTCATTAGACAGTGTGATATGCATATGAACAAAATCGCTTCACTATTTTGAGTTAAAGTACAAAA